ATTCACATGGCCCACTTGACTTCCGTGGTGGATGGATATATCAGTACTGGGTTTGAGCATTAAGGAGAGCACAGACAGTCATGTTGTTGAGCTACGAGCCTTTTTCAGTAACACTTTCAGATTCTCTAATTAAATCCCTAACAAGGAATTGTGCAAGCTCACTTGTGTCATTTACCCTTAAAGAGTTTTGTGCTCGGTAAACCTCAGTAGGAAATAAGGAGTAAGACTTCATAAGCTTTCAGGTATACTTCTCTCTTTGAATATTGCCTGCAGCATGCATACTCTAAGCACTAAAGAAAAGCATTAAAAAAAAAATTCTTCAACTGCTGTGAAATTTTGTATTGAGGTAGTCTCTGATAGTAAAAGTGATAGGATTGTGTGTATATATGATGGTGCACACCTGTAGACTCACAGCCGAGTCAGCTTCCTCCTCTGAGTAGTGCATTGGGCAGCCTTTGTCAGAAACCCAGCACCATGGTGCTGCTGACACATTTACGCAATCTGGTTTGGATTAAGGCATGTACTTGCCTTTCTATATAAGAAGTCTATGTTCTGCTGAGATCTGAGAAATCACAATAACATTTTAACTCCCCTTAAAATGCGATTAAAAAACTCCCTCAGGTTTTTTAATAGAAGCTGGTACCAACTTTGTCAAATGTCTTTATATTGCTTTGTACGTCTGTTACCTTGACAGATGTTAAAAAGATGCTGTTAGGTGAATAGAGTTCCAATTTCAATGAGTTAAAATTAGTAATTTCCATTTTAGTTTTTTTTGGAGTTCCGTAGTTATGCTCAGAATTAATTATGAGGATTAGATGCTCTGTAAGCATATCTATAGTTTAGAACAGTATTTTTTCTGCAGGAACACCTTATATTAAATGTGCAAGTGCACAGCAGAACAGAGTTAATGACAGTGGTGCAAAAAGCTCAGTGTTATTAATTACAAAATATACTGGTTTGGTTTTCTTTTCCTTTTAAACAGCGTATTCAGTATGCAAAAACAGATTCTGATATAATCTCTAAAATGCGTGGTACTTTTGCTGATAAGGAAAAAAGGAAGGAAAAGAAGAAAGCCAAATCTCTGGAGCAGTCAGCAAATGCAGCAAATAAAAAGGTTATCCAGGTAAGCTGCTTATCTCTTCAAAAAAAAGAAAAACACAAAAGCTATCCTAATTTTTTTTTTTTTTTTTTTTTAGGACTGAGTATTGTCTCTTGTTTGTCTACTTCTCAATTCCCTGAATTGTGGTCAGTTGCTATCTAGTGCTCTTGAGCACTCAGTAGGAGTTGAAGGAGAGGGGGATGATTATATAGTCTTTGCTGTTCCTTTTTTTTTTTTTTTTTTTTTTTTAAATTCCTCCTTTCCTATTACCAGATGAAAATAAAGATATGGGGCAAAGGTACAATAAACCAAAGTAGAAACTAATTTATTTTTTAAAAAAGAAATAAATGAAGGGCTTCTGCTTATCTTTAACGCCAGCTTCAAGTGCTCAGCCAGCTTTTCCCTTCAGCGTTTTAATGCTCTGTAAGCACTGAAATATGGTAAATGGGAACAAGATAATTCATTTACAGTCAGATGAAAAGGAGTTGGCTCGGCACATATCTCCACTAACGGTTAGCCTGGCCTAAACTAACAGCATCTAGTGATTTATGTGCTGAAGTATAGCAGAAAACATCAAGGCATGGAGTTTGAATATTGTGTTATTTAACTGCATTTCCTGCTAAAGCACAAACTGGTATCAAAGAGAGATAAGAGTGTTCAGAGAAAGCAATGTTTTACTAATAAATAAATAGAATATTCAGATTTTTCAGGATTTATTAAAAAAAAATCAATCATTACATACAAATCTGTTAAGTAATTGCTACTAGCTATAATGGTAATAGCTTTAGTTATCCTTGCTAAATTGGAGTCCTCAGTGGAAGCACCTGGTTTTCTCCTGTTAGGTATGTCCTGTCTAAGCCTTCGTTTTCAGAACTGCTTCCTTCCTGTCTGTCTACAAAAAAATCTGGTTTATGTGGAGAAATAGTGATTCGCTGTATCTGCAGACTCTGCCATTAGTCAGGACAGATACTACAGATGTTTTTTCTTTGATTGCCTGGCTTTGGAGTTCAGCAAAATTCAGGTGCTTTGTTTTCCTACAGGAAGTATCTCAAGCAACAAATGTTCCTTGGATTTTAGCTTAAAAAAACCTTAATGTGCTTCTTGGCTTGTACAAAAACATGGTGAATTGTGCTTATATATTTCTAACAGTAGACCTTTGTAAAACCATTTTGTACTTCTTTACTAGGGAGCAACACAAAATTCAGCCAATGCCCCAGGGACTGCAGCACAGAATCAGCAGGTAATGCTTTTTTTTTGTGACTAAAAGCACTAATGTTTAAAATTATTCTCTATGAATAATAATTTGCTACACATGGAAACTCGAGTATATATTTTTACAGCTTCCTTTTTGTTCTGTAAGACATTTGTTAACAGCTACATCACAGTATACAAAAGAAACCCCACTTCTAGAGTATCTGGTTGACATGAAATGAAAATCTGCAGTTTCTCATTATTATACAGAAAATTGTACTATTAAGAAATTCTACTTGATTCTTTAATTTTGACTGTGTTTAGTATCAGTTGAAGGATTCTTTGTTTTTTTTCATTGTTAATAAACTTCCTTTAACTTTTTTTGTTGTAGTAGTAGAAAAGGAGGAGGAAGACTACACAGGGTGCCAGGATATCTGCCTAAAAACTTCTTTTCAGGAGTTCGGGAGTCCTCTGCTCACTTTTTGTTTTTTTTTTCTCATAAGCATCTTATTTTCCAAAGGATTGTATGGAGATGTAGCAACAACTCCTTACACTGCACTCATCTTGTCTGCTCAGTGACCTTCTAAATGATTCATGTGTGTTAAAATTGGAGGTACTAAAGAGCCAGGATTTGCAGTAGGGCACATACCATAAAAGAACATCTTTGCCTGCCCTGCATCTTTTTCTTGACTACTATCATTAAGAATTGCCTACATAATCCACGGGGGAATATGTCTTGCTCCCAGTCTGGGTTTTCTTTTGGGTGTCATTTGTAACAAGGCACAGCATGTGTATGTCCTTTTGCATTGAAGCACAACATACTGAATATTCAGTTATTTGAACTTCAGAAGTTTCTTTTCTAATGGCACTGCCTGGAATATTTCCATTAGCTGAAATAAAATGTTCTGCTGAGGCATTAACTTACTTGGCACCATTATTAGGACGCTTGAAGTTCTGGTGTTCCAGTTTCTTTTTTATTTTTGTAAGCTCCTTGATGACTTGAGATTCCAGCCTTTCAGTCCAGTGTTAGCAAACTGACTACTCAGCCTTGTGTCTGGTGGGTGCCTACAAATTCATATTAGCAGGTAAATCTGTTAAAGACTCTAAAGTTTTAAATCTAATGGGGTTTCTAATTAACAAATTTGAATAGAGCACCGTAGTAAAACCATGTGGGGTTTGTGGGTTTCAGTTGCCTACAGATACTCAGTATTTCAGTACTACTGCAGACGAACAGGGTATTTATCTTGGACTCCAGCTGCTTTTCCGGAAGGATGTGAGTGTTTCATAGGTTCTTCCACTGCCATACTGCAGCCAGTACTTAGGCACCTGGGTTCCCTCCCCCTGGGCAGTGCTGAGAGTGCTGCAGCATCAGCTGTTGAGTTGTGGAGTTTAAATAGGACATCCAAGACAATATGTCACTGATTCTTGTGGAAATAAGAGCCTCTCCAAATTAATATATCCTTGTAAAAGAACCAAAGGCCTCTGTATACTGCCTGGAAGTATACTGAAGTCCAGCTAGCAATGTTAAGAGAGCAAAACTAAAAGGATATGTGAGTCATGGTTCAAATAATCATGAAGACAGATGCAGTGGAATGAATAACTGTATATAATCTTCTGAGCTTTGATCTTCTGTTGTTGCAGGTGCCTGACAACCCACCAAACTATATCCTTTTCCTTAATAACTTGCCTGAGGAAACAAATGAAATGATGCTGTCCATGTTATTCAATCAGTAAGTTTTTGAGTAGAAAGGACTTCTCCTTTGAATTCTTCTGTTACCTGTATGCTTTTTCTCAGTTGGCAAGCTGACTTTTTAGAAGTAAGAGTTTCTTCTGAATGCATTTCAGTTCTCTGTCTTACTGCCAAGATTACAGGTGTCGGTTCTGATAACTTGGTGCAGAAAGCAAATCCAATTTTTTTTGTAGCTGGTTTTGATTGTGTAAGTTATCTACTATCAATCTGCACTGGATTTAAACTAGTGACTGTAATATTAAAGACTTTACAACAGCAGGAGCAGTTTTAAAACTAGCTTTAGTTGCTTCCATATACGCACGTGACTGATTAAATTGCTTCCACATAATGATCCTTAATTGACGCATAGCTCTAAGGACTGGACATGTAAAACCCTTCAATTTAAATCTTTCAGTAGTAGTAACTATTATACTAGTAGATGCTTATGATGAGATCTTATGGATACTGAAGAGAGGTGTATTATATGACACTTTCACCTTATTTTAAAGGTTTCCTGGATTCAAAGAGGTACGCTTAGTGCCTGGGCGCCATGACATTGCGTTTGTGGAATTTGAAAATGAGAATCAAGCAGGAGCTGCTCGAGATGCTCTCCAAGGATTCAAGATTACTCCATCTCATGCTATGAAAATCACTTACGCAAAAAAATAACCAGATGCTCTCACAGAGGACTTCTGTGGATAGCTGTTTTTTTCACATGATGATACTTTGATCAGCTAGCATGTTTGCTGTTCTCTGCAAATAATTTAAGATTTGCATAAAATTGTCACCATGGCCGGGACAGACATAGGATTTCCACAGATCTACTGGATAGTGAATTTTTACAAAATAAATTCAGTTTGTGCTGTTTTCAAGCCATGTTTTTCCTTGAACCTGTCTGATTATTGATCTGTTAGGCTTGTAGGGCTTACTTGGTGTACTGATTTAACTACTTTTAAGATGACATTAATTTCTCAGAAGCGAGTGCTGGGAAAATAGCTGTCTTTCCAGAGCAAAAAGCATGTGCCGGAATACTAAATGTCAGCATATTGAGAATAAATGCAACACTCAATCTTCAGCCTCATTATCAAGGGGGCAGCTGCTTTTCAGCAAGAATAATTTTGTCACTTAAGTAAAACAACTTGTCATTAGTGGGGTTTTTTTCCCAGGTATGGGTAGAAATTGATTGCAGCTTGACAGCACTGTTGTTCAACTTGGCTTTGTCTTTATAATGATGGATGGTAGTAGAAGCAGGTTCACAGAAGAAACCTGAAAGTTCATCTATTGTCTTCTCTTCTGCTCTTTCCAGACCTAGTGCCAGTGATATTAATAAATGGTTTAGGAAGAGCTTTATGGCTCTTTACAAAGACAATGCAGATGAGCCTGATGGTCTGGTTTTGGGCAGGTTTTTCCAAAATACATGTTCTAATGCTTCTGGGTTTGTTGGGTTTGGGGCTTTATTTTTGTTTGTTTGTTTTTCATTTGTCTAAAGCTTTTACAGGTCTTGTGTGACATGAAATACACAATGCAGTGAAGCAATCAGATGTAGTACTGTCAGTTGTAACTGTTCTATTTTGGGTGCAAAAAATCACTTCAAAAGCTTAAGTGTTTTTGTTCAAGTAATAGAAGACCTAGAAATATATTTTAGGTTAAGGGAATCGTTAAATTTACTTAATTTTTTTTTTTTTTGTGACTCTTGCAGTAACTTGTTGCATGGTGTTGGCCAGGAGGATTGCAATCAGACCCTTGAAGATTAATGTTTGAGAGGAAGCAGTTGCACAGGGCTTGTCATGTTCTACCTTTCCTCACTTATTGAACGCTTCTTTGGGGCCACTACCCTTTCAGACAAAGAAGTAATGGGATAGAGTTAGCATGATTGCCCTTAGCAATAGTTCGGGCAAATACTAGAATAGCTGTTTTTTAGGCAAGAAACTAAAAGGAAGAATGTTTTGCATGGCAGCTACATTGCAAGTATTGTTTTTTTCTGTTTCCAAAGTAATTTGGTCAATGGGGGCAGGAGGAAAGGATGCTAGAGGCTGTAGCCTTTCCTCTGTGACTGGCTCCATGCAGCCCCTTCCTGTGTTGTGTGGGCTTGACTGTAGGTGCAGAGCATCTCTTTCCCATTGCTTCTGTTCTGAAACAATCGACATATGACTTAAAACTGTTCTTTGGACAAAGTGCTGCACCTTCAGGGAAGCAGGATTGCTTTTTATAACATCTTGGTGTACTTTATAGTTCTGGCATATCAGCTTGATTTCTGAGCAAGTGCTATGTTATCTGTAAGTGTAAAACTAGCTACATAAACTACCTTTTTTGCACAAGGCCTGAAAAATCTTCTGATCCCAGAGTATATGGCAAGATGATGTCCTTCCACAGTCACCTCAATTACTGTCCTATCCATTTATGTATTTTTCATTCTTTTTAGTGATTTTTTTTTTGTGTATGTGTGATTTCACAGGTACTCTAATACTTGCAAGTGAAAATAATTTCAGTGTGCCTGTAAGGGAGCAAAAGTGACTATGTTATTCAGTCATGAACCTTATGTTTTTCCTTCTGCAGTCACAATTTTATAGGTATTAATTACGTTGTCCTTGCATCCCACTAGTCTGTGTACACGAGACTACCGTTGCTAATCACCATTCTTAACCTTTATTCACTCAGAAGGGTTTGTGTGGAGCTGTCTGCAAAGGACATCAGACGCCACATACGGGAGGTTGGAGGAAGGACTAATGGGCTGGAAGATTAGAGGGGAATGCGGTGAAGTCAGCTGTAATTGGAAGGGGATGCTGGAAATTGCAAGATGCTCTTTTCTTTAAAAGAGAGTGGGAGATTTTTGATGCCAGTTGACAGCTTCCTTTGTTCTGCCTCCTCATGAATCAGGAAGCCCCGGTTCTCTGGGGTGACATTTTGGCAACTTCCAAACCTGCTCCTGGTGACTGTTGAGGGTTGATCCAGACCAGCCTTCTGTGGCCTGACAGCCACGATGCGAATCACTTACAGTGCAGCACCTGGGGTGGTTTTTCCTTTGGTGCGTGTGTGCGTATCTAAATTAAAATAGTCCCTACAAGTCTTGCCTCATGTATGTTATGACAAGATTTTGGGAAGGTAGATGAATTTTAAATGTCCTCTCCAAGGGTAAAGAGGAGCTTTTAAGTCGGCCTGCGGCATTGTATGTTCAGCATCTTGCTCTTGCAAACTCTCAGCTGAGTTTAGCTATGTAAATAAAAGTGAAATGGTCGCTGTCCTGGCGTAACCTGTGTGTTTTGCTCCTGATGGCATCTCCCTGTGGAAGAGATCTTGCCTATACAAGTATATAGTGCTTGAACCTTTTAGACCTCAAATTTAAAATACTGACATGCAAAGCCTTTTTACTGGATTTCAACTCCCTCACGGTTTGTTTATGTTTGCATTATGTGTGTCGGGGTCCTAGTAAGTCCTTTCTGTAGGACTGTAATAGGGGAATCTCTGCCACTGAGGGTTTACAGTCCAGTGAAGATTATGCTTGTCAGTGAGCATTTGTGAAAATTAAGAACTTGAGGATTTGGAAGGATGTAATTTCCTTTGCTGCTTACCAGGGTCTGACCTAATTTTAATCCTCAAACTTTGCTTGAGGTAAAATTAAGACTATGGACAACTACAGGAAGGCTCAAAATGTTTAAATCATACAGTTGCTGATTGAAATGTTAATGTAGAGTGGCTTTGGGAAGGGATTTGGTTCATGAGTGGACCCTGAGGTCTTCCTCCCGCCTGCGGCTCCTCTGGCGGGGTGGAATGTCACCCTGACCCCTTCCGATTGGCCCGGGGTGTTTGTCCAGGTGTCTGCCTCTCCCATAAAAGACGGCGATCGCTGGACCCGGCAGGCATTCGGCAAGTGCTGCAGCAAAGAAAAATGACACAACGTGTTTATTTGGTTGTTTTACTTTTGTGTCTCGGATTAATGTGTCCTCTTGCAACCGGAATTTTTATGGAGAAGCTTGCCAGCAAGAAGCTGTGTGCCGATGATGACTGTGTCTGTAAGTAATTTTGCTTTAATTTTGAGGACAAATTCATCTTAAAAATGGCTGTAGAGTTTGGATGCAGTAGTGTGAGGGGAAAACAACTCTTATTTAGCTCTTATATTTGCATTGGCTTGTCAACTTTGAAAGCAGAGTGGGAGGGTTTATGTGGAATGTCACATGCAGTTTTACTGCAATAAGGGTTTTGTAAAGGACATTTTTCACTCAAGTGAAAGGTAAATGTAGAGAGGATTATAACTTCCACTGTGATGAAATGGCACATTCTTAAGCAGTTGTTACTTTGCTTACTGGAGAACAGAGAAATCAACAGAACAAATTCTTGAACACTTTTATTAATTTTAAGTTAACCTACTTTTGCCTGTCGGAACAGTTTTACATGTATGCATACAAGCACACACACATTCCTATTTCTCTCTCTAAAAGTATGTATGTATTTAAATTTGTTCACCTCATTCTTCTTTTTCTGTAGATACCATTTCCCTTGCCAGAGCAGAAGAGGACTATAATGCTCCAGACTGCAGATTCATTAATATTAAAAAAGGGCAGTTGATTTATGTTTACTCAAAACTAGTGAAAGAAAAAGACTCTGGAGAATTCTGGGCTGGAAGTGTAAGAGGAGATTCTTGTATATATGAGCAAAAGTAGATTAATGAGCATTTCTGTCAAGAAATGGATGGTAATGCTGAGTTATTGTGGGTTTTAAAGCAGCAACTTACTTTGCGAAGTGAATGTTTAAACTTAAATGGATAAATTTTCATTTTTTTTAATTAAATATCTCCAGTAACTACATGGTAATTATGAACCCCACCTTAACAGAAGGGCTCAGTGTTTCTTTTCTGTGGCTGTTTGCTAAAACTATGTAGGAGACTGCTTCTCAAATTTAAGAGTTTTATGACCAATTGTGATAAAAGCTAAGATAAATATTAGCTGCATTTATTTTAAAATTCCAGATAAACTATAGGTGGTATTAATTTACTCCAAAAAATGTATGCCTGTGTCAGAATTTGTGTAAATGGTTTATTTCATGTGCCAGGTAATTGGAAACTGGGAAATCTAAAACCAGAGTAAGAAAAAGTAATTGCTTTTGACTAAATTATGAACTGTCTTAAACCAGATGAGGACTGTATTGAGGTACTTAATTATACATCTCCTTGCCTGAAGGTTTACGGAGAACAGTATGAAGACCATATGGGGACAGTTGGTTATTTCCCTAGCAGTTTAGTCTCAGAACAACGTGTCTATCAAGAAGCGAATAAGACTGTTCCTACAACGGTAAGGAATTTGCAAAAGCCCAGCTGGCTACATAATTGTACTTGGCTGTGTAATGCTAATTTGCTGTAAAAACAAATCATAATTGTGGCAGTTGATTGTAGCATATCACAGATGCTTAGGGATTCAATCTTTGGGCTTTTATACAGCCAAATATTCTCAATAAAATCTCTAACATAAGCTCTGATATTGCAGACATCACAAATGCTGCATTAAGGGCTTGATTCTATTAGAGTTTCTATTGATTTGAATAGTATGCCTTCAAGGTCACGTAAGTTTTACCCAAAGGCTTCTTTTTTAGTCTGGATTTTGTGCTGCCTACTTTAAAAATGTGTACAAGTGTACATTCTATTAATTGTATATATAGATGGATGCTGTCATACAGAACTTCTGATTTACTGAAAGCATGCTTGCTTTCTCATATCTAAGTTAGTGGTACATCAGAAAGCTGAGTTAAAAAGCTTTTGAAAACACAGTGTTCTGTGAGTAAGCAAGGTGTATTTCTGAAAGGGTCATTGTCTCTGATGTCCAGTAGTGTCTCATGCACCAGATAATTCATAATTTCACTAAATATCTGAAATACTTCACAGAGGAATAGAAGACGAGGGTCCTTCCTCAGAGGCTGGTATGGTTTGGCTTACAACTAGTGCTTACTGGTAGCTTATTTCTATGCTTAAAAACAAATTGAGTGGTAGGTTTGCAGTAACTATATTAATTGATATTGAATATTTAGCTATATGACATTTTGAAGCATATAGCAAAATATGATTAGTGTATCAAGATTGAAATCATATCTGGAGTCTTTAATCCTAGGTCCAGATTATTAGATGAGTTTCATTAACACAAAGGAAATAAGTGAAAGGAAGAATTTTGTTTCATGTTAATAGTTGCTAGGATTTGTGTTATAATGTCTCAGACAAGTTTTATTTGAGGAAATGGGAATCTCCGATAAGTGATTGCTTTTCTTGACATTACATTAGGTTATTCTGAATTTGGCCCAGAAGCACTACAGCAATTAATTAGTCACAGAACATGAAAGAATGGCTAAAATCTGTTTCTAAGCTCTTTTCTCAACAATGTGACAGCCAGTCTGCTTGCACAGCAAGCTGAACTGGAAGCAGAGGTAGGTTAAAACGATGTTTTTAGCTTGCGGGCTGGCTTGGGGTCCAGAACGGGCTGTTGTCAGGCTGCAATGCAGAACTTTAATTGGAAAGTAATTTTCATTTGCAACACGAGCAATACAGACTTTCACCGTTGTTTCCCCCTTACTTTACATTCTCGCTATGCAGGAACTTTTCAACGAAAATGAAGGGAGAATACAGATAAGGTGCTTTTCCTTGTTCTGCTGCTCTCAGCTGTATGTTGCAAATGTGACCTTAAGGATCTGACTCTAAGTTCACATTCAAAATGGTCTACAGCACACCTTGAACAATCTGTGTATGGGCATGCTGCTTGCTCCAGAAATATCCCTTAAAGGTGCTGTTTTATACAGCGTGAGTGTTGCACATTGACATACACGCCTCTGATGCCACCAGCCTTCCATCTGCCAGTCAGAAGCCAGTCTCTTGCTCACGGCTCTGTAACATTCCCCCAGGCTGCAAGCAATGGTTTTTGCCTTGCTTTCCTGGCCTTGCAACTGCAAAGCCCAATACTTTGGTTCTCTCAGGAAGGGGTTGCTGTTTATATTCAGGGACTTGATGGTGCCCAAATCTTAACAATTAATCAGCATGCATTGCCTGCCCCGATCGAAGTACTGAGTGGCACTCAGAAATGGTATTGCTTAGAAGAACTGATAGGGAACTCAATGGGCAAAAGTATTATGGGGAGGCACCTGCTGCATTGGAGAGAAGCCTTGAAAGAGGACATTAGCCTGGGGGCCTCTGTCTCTGACCCTCCCTTCCATCTTCCCACACCCCCCCCAAAGTAACTTTCACTGCTGGAATCAACCAACTACAGACACCGCTAATAAATATCCCTGTCTGTGAACTTCTCTCTGCATCCTTTTGTGCAGTTCTGGGTAATCCATGCCTGTTGGTTGCTGTTTGAGCAATAAATCTTATGAGAATTCCCCCCACCCCCCCCCAGTGCTGCTACTTCTTAATCACTGAGTCACACTGAATACAATAGACTCGACACAATAGACCGTGTGTACTACAAGGCAATGTTGGATTGCCTGCCTTCCCTCCATCACTTAAAATTGTCCATTTGCTGGCTAAAATGGGAGTACTTTCATTACTAGTAAGCATCTGGCTCTGAAACAGCTCCCTGTCTTCTGCTTCCAGTGGGCAGCTATGTGTGATACACTGGTCTAATGTAAATGTCGTACAGTTTGAGCACCACAGTGTGATAATTCCCTGCAGCAGAAGAGAGATCTACATAGCTGTATAAGATAATAGCAGGAAGTTAGATGAAAGCAACGTGCTGTGGAAGTCTATCCCATGCTGGAAGTTTTCAAGCAAAATACTGGCGTTTATTTTCTAGTCACATTTCTCTGTAGCAAGTGTATTACATAGCCTCAGTCTGCTTAAGGCATCCTTTTCATGTATGGTTAGGAACTGTTTAAGGGTAAAGGGTTACATATGACTAATAAATCCAGGTATCGATGTGGGAATAGAGAACAAGGGAGATAAAGGAATCATCTGAAATTAAGCGAGAGGATGATATTGCCTAATTCACTTCAAAAATTTATGGCAGGAACAAATCATCCCAGCTATGTAAAATGAGTCAAAAGACAAAAGACCTTTTTCTTTTCCAGAATACTTTGAGTATATTATAGTGTATTCTGTGTTTGCATCTATTCATGTACCTTTGGGGAGTGATGAAGGAATGTTAATCCCTCAGTAATCTCAAAATATCTTTTAATTCTCTTTTTCAGGACATTGATTTCTTCTGTGAATAGCGCTGAAAGCAGTCGAGTAATCTCTTGACTGCTACAGGGGGAAGCCGACAGGAGGAAACCTGGGCAACCTTCCCTGAGCACACAGCCCTTCCTATAATAGATGTTTGTGAAACAATCTTTCTTCAAAACAAGAAAGTTTTCATTTAAAGGAAGTGATTTCCAGCGGGGAAATAGTCCCACACAGAATTTGTTACTTAGAAATTTTTTACCTGCATATACTTTGTTACTTGTTAATAAAGCGAATAGCCTTTGAATTGCTGTAAATCAGTGTGGTATAAATATGCGATGTAGGAGAGTTAGATGTGTGATCTTGACCTGCATTTTCCTGCCATAACCTTACACCATGTTTTAAATATTAAAAATATCTTCCTTGAATGAGCCGTCTGTGACTTGCTGGAATCAATCATTTTTGTTGCAAGAGCTATCCAACAAGGGAGAAACCACCAGTAACTAAATATGATCTTTAGCAGGGTGTCGAAAAGAGCATCTTGCCTGTCGTGTGTGCTGGTATGGGGCATGTTCAAGCAGAAACCGTTGCCCACAAGACAATGGGGTATGGCCGAGATGGTGCTTGCCCAAGGCCACGCATTTAGCCTGCGCTCGGTGTTCCGAGTAGGAGAATCGGAGAAGGTATCCTGCTGATTGACGTGCGGAAAACAGACTCCACAATCTGATAGATTGTAAAGTAGGTATGTTTATTCAGCGCTGGGCACACAGGGGATCGCTCCTCCTAATGTGTGTGCCTGCCATGTGCCACCGTTACCTTAGATTTATAGAGCAAATGATTACATATTCATATATTTCACAATACGCCTATACATATGCATTACCTATCCCCGCTTCGTATTATAATTAGCATTTCCATAATCTCCTCCCAATTGAGTCTGCGCAGTGTCTTCTGGTGGTGGTCGTGGGGGTCTTTGGGGATGAAGTCAAGCTCCTCTTCCTCCTGTCCGCTCTGTGACCCCAGGTTTCGCGCAGACTCAGTCTCTTACTGGCTGTTGTCCAAACCATAGGTCTAGTCCCAACCGGCTTTGTACTGATAAAGCCTAAAGACTCCATACCTCAGCTCATCATGTTTTACAAACTATCTACTCATTAAGCAGAACTGTTATCTCAACTATTTCCCTTGTCATCCCCTTCTTGCTATTCCCATATTAACCTTTACATCCCCTGTTCCTATCTAGGCCCTGTATCACTGCTCCTTCTCTGGCTCTAACAGCGGCCCTGCCAGCGCTGGGATGCTTGCTCCGCCGTGCCTCACTGATGGCAGCGGGTGAGGAACGAGCGGGTTTAGTTTCTGTGAGGGACAGGGGCGCTCCTGAAGCCCACAGCCGCGCGGAGGGCGCCCGGCCCCGGAAGCGGGCGTGCGAGGGCGGCTCCGCGCGCCCTCCTGCGGCAGAGCCGGCCAGCAGCGCGGGACGCGGCAGCCAATCGGAGCCGCGCGTCGCTGCCGCTCGCGCCTCTGGGCGGGGCAAGGCGCCGCCTGAGGCGCAGCGGCCGCGAGGGCGGCCGCCCCGGCCCGGCCCGTGTGTGCTCGGCCCGCCGCTGCCAGCGGTGGGGGTAATCGGCCTCTGTGCTACCAGCTCGGCGAGTTTAGGTAAATTTTCACGATTTAGGGAGGAGGTTGAGGGCCAGAACGTTTTAGAACTAGCAGTACTCACATCTGTCAAAGACCTTTGGCAGTGTTGTCTGTGAGCAGTTGCTTTTTAACCAATAAGGTGTAATCTTTTAGCTGGATCCTTCCTGCTCAGCACAGCTTTCCAAGATGAGGTGTTTGCAGTTGCATGCATTCATTTTAGATAGGCGCGCTGGAAATGCATTCCACACTTGAGCACACGCTAGAAGCTGTGGGTGCCAGAAGAGCACACATAGCAGTAGGTGTTTGCAAACAACACACGGAATGCATTAAATGATGCTGCAGATATCATGAATTAAAATTGTGAGGTGATGTTCAGCTCTTGCTATTGGAAAATAGGAGGTTTTCCTCAAATAGTCACCTCAGGTGATTGCTTACAGTTATTAATTTACCCAGCTCTACATGGATGTGTAAGAGGCGGATGTAAAAAGCTTTATATGTGTTTCTCTACAAAGATACTGTCCTTTCCTCTTCATTTACAGTGCAGGAACTGCAGGCCAGGAGAACTGGACTTTCTGTGGTGTAAAGCAAGACCAGTGTTCTTAATCCTTGCTATTGCATTTAATCCTAAATCCATGTCTTTGTAAAGGAAAGCTTTTCAGTTCCAGTTTGCTTCTTAACCAGCTTGTATGAGCTATGGATACTTCAGGATAGTAAAACAACAACTAAGAGGAGAATACTAGAAGTTCAGGATGCATACAACAGGGAGTAGGTATACATATATTGTCCTTTTTGAGCTTGAACAAAGGGCAACATTTGGAGTATCAGTGAAAAACAGCCTGCTATGACTTACTTGGCAGTTATAGTAAGTCTGGGACCATCGTGGCAGAATCTGGACAGTATGTATTTATTTATCTTTGCCTTTTCCCTGGCTGCCATCAGAGGCCCTGTTCTGCAGTGATCTCTTCTGTGCAGAAAATAACTCAGCAGGCTTTCGAGGGGCATCAAAGTCTGTCTTTGCTACTTGAAAATCTAACTCTGAGGAAAGTAAGATAAGGGATCGCTTTGTGGTATTCATAAAGCATCTGGCTGTGAAGAAGCATTGTACTGGCAAAGCTACTTGTCTACTGAATTCAGTCTCTAATGTGCAACTGTTGGATGGTTTCCAATCTAATGAAGCTTTATAGCACCTTTCGTCTGCACAATGTCATAGGTACTTGTTTAATACATCCACATTGTGTAAAAATGTCATCTCACAAGCAGTGGTGATCTATGCTACAATCTGAACTCTGGTGTGATAGTCTAGATAAATTTATAGCTTCATTATGTGATTTATTGTCAGGATCCTTTTTTTAAGATGTCCAAAGGAGAATTGTGACTTCATTCGTTAGTCACCAGGGACATGATACAATGAATGCAGCAATTCCTGATCTTTATGGCCACTGCCCCTCTGAAGGCAATCTCTTCACTGTGTAAATGTTACACCGAGAAGGAATGTTGGGTAGATTCACTTTGCAAGGGATGGTGTGTGTGCTCAGAAGAGTGGAGACATTGCAGTCTGACATGGTCTTCTCTCTCTAGAGAAGGTGCACAATATGACTCAGTTGTCATTCATTCACTTGAACCAAATTGGTCTTGGTTTTATTTTCAATACGCCAATTTTCATTATTTTATCACAAATTTCACAATGTTTGATGAATTTAAAATTCCCACTGCTAAGGCCTGGTTATTACAAGAGAAAAACAAGATAATCTCCTGTTTTTAGAGGGAAGTCTTAAGTTTCTACCCTTTACAAATGTAGGGAAGCATGACAACATTAATCTTAACAGCACTAGCACCAAGGGTAAACAAAATGATCCCAGACTTGTACAATGAAATCTAGGGGAAGTGGGGAAGGGAGAAATGGCAGGGGAGCACAGGATGGATGTCTGTAGAAAACTTTTGAGTGCTTGCAGCTGGCAGCACTATTAATGTGAAGTTGACAGTTAAAGATCAATAGTTTTGACACTGAACACAGATCTGCTTTCTGCATTTCATGTTCTTAGGGGATGCTTGTTTCAGAACAACACAGCTTGCCATTCAGACCCTGAAGTGTTCATGCTGTAGCGTACCTGGCCGGGATAAAGAGGAACTGACTTTCAGGAGAAGGAGAGGAGAATCAATATTACGCTAGCAGTCAGTGGAGGATGCTTTTGATTTTCTTTTTCCCCTACTCCAGTTTCTAGAAATCACAGCAGCTTCACTGTTACTGTTTTAGTAATATGTACACAACATCTTACATGCACTGTGTGCTCTTTATATGACAAGATCTTGATAGTCTTGTTTCTGTTCATTTTATCCCAGCATAGGGGAAATATATGCACATCTTGATGTGTATTTCAGTGTTGTGTTTAAACAAGGCGGTGTAGAACTCTTGATGTGGACTCAAACTGCACTCTTGGCTTACGATGACATGGTATCTATTTAGCTGAAGTTAGCATTAAGTTTCCAACCTTAGGTGAGGATTCAGAGGCTCTTAAAATAAACCGTTGTGTATTTTTCAGCAAGCTTGGCTTTGAAGAAGTGTAATGCTCCTAGATCATTACCTGAAATAAAAAGCTTGTAATTAAGGAAGCCTTCCCGCTGCAATGGGACGAGCTCCCGTTTGGCGGTAGGAGCAGAGTTGTTCGGTGAGCGCAGGGTGACATCCAGCGGCTGGCTCCTGCCTGGCTGTGGGAAGGACTCGGCTGGTTAGTACTGTCACAGGGACACCCCAGCCGGGAGGGCCCTCGGGAGTCTCCTGCCCAAAACAGGGTCACACTTAACCCACATCAGAGTGCTCACGGATTTGCCCAGTCTCAAAAACCTCCAAGGACTCTGAGTAACTCACTCCTTAATTATTCTCATTGTGAAAATTACTTTCTTTATCTAAAACCTGGGGTTTTTTTAACTTATGTCCATTGTCCCTTTTCCTCCACAGAGCACCTTAATAAAGAGCTCAGATCCATCTTCTCAATAAAGCCCTTGCGGTCTCTGAGGAGCTGTTTTTGTGTTCCCCTGAAACTGTTTCTTCCCCAGGATGAACAGGTCCAGCTCCCACAGCTTCTCCTCCCAGGGATGGTGGCCTCCTGCCCATGTCACTGTGTCTCTGCAGAACATGCTCAAATTGCACAGCAGCAGGCCAGGTTTCTGATTTGGCTTGTTGGTAACAATAAGGATGACTGAATTTATGAAGGATTCACACGTGCTCATCTAATTCTTACTTGTGATGGCACCAACATTTTACAATGGAGATTTTTTCATAATTACATACGCTGCTGTAAGAATCTTGTTATCTATTCTACTAATAATAAACGTGCCTCAGGGCTTATGAAAGATGACAAGGAGTTCACACAGGGCTTTTCTGCAGTGTGTTTCCCCCACAGGAAAATGTGTTCTTACCACCACACCTTTGTCATGCCAGTGCACTCTGACAACGAGAGCACTGTTTGTTTCTGAAGTGCACTGGCCTTGTGGTGAAGTGGCAGTGCAGGGGGTGCCTGTACCCACAGTGGGGTTGTGTTACCAGCGTGCTGGTAAACTCCATACAACAAATTTCAGCCACAGAAAACAACAGGCAAGTGATCGGCATGAGTTCCTTCCCACACACAGGTTGTAGCACGGGCATTTTGGAGAAGGGGAAATGACATCCCCAGCTGTCTTGGTGCATGGCTAACAAAGGGCTGATTGCAGCCCTGGCTGGGATCAGTGGGGGATGAGCAACAGCTGCTATAAAAACCACAGTCTCAGCAGGCTGAGAGGGAAGTTTGGTGTTGCA